TTCAATGTGCATATCCATATCTGATACTCTTCTACCTTTTATTCGCACTTTTAAGTTACACTTAAAAAATCACTCAAAGTACGTTCCACCTGGGCAGGGGTTAAGCCGCATGCAGCTCTTTGGCTGTTTCCTTGCAGCTCCAAAGCAAATTGTTGTGTCTGTACATCTTTGGATGGTTTCTTAATGTCTGGACTATATGAAGATACTATGATTTTCAAGGCTAGACTGCAAGCTTTCTTTGTTCAGATGGCAGAGTGTAGCACAGTAGCTGCCAGCTTTGTGGCATCTCAGGAAAGGATAAAACATGGGAATCCCTTCACCGATGCTCAATACATCAAAGAGTGTCTTATCAAAGTAGCAGAACACTTGTTTGCCAATTTCAAAACTAAAAACAGTATAATTAAGAGAATTAGGGACACTGCATTTTCGTTCTGAAGTCCACAAAACACTGAAAATAATGTATTGTTTGTTTACACTTTGTTAGTGTAATATCAGGTGTTGAGAGCGCTAAGTAGGCTTCATCAAGGGAAGGCGGCAGGGCCAGACGGCATCAGCGCTAAGGTGCTGAAGCTGTGCACTAAGCTCTCTCTAATGCATATTCAATCTGAGCCTGAGCCAGGAGAGAGTCCCAGTGGTGTGGAAGACAAAGCTGGCTGCGCCGTGAGGATCATGTTTTTTGATTTTTCAAGAGCGTTCAACACCATACAGACAGTGTTGTTAAGGGAGAAACTGTCTCATGCAGGTGGAGACACCCATTGTCTCCTGGATTGTGAATTACATGACGGGCAGACCGCAGTTTGTGAGACTCCACGGCTGTGTCTCTGACATGGCTGTGAGCAGCACAGGGGCGCCCAGGGGGACGATCTTGTCTCACTTCCTGTTCACACTCTATACGGCTGACTGCTGTACAACATGGCGACCTGTCACATGCAGAAATTTTCTGATGACATGGCCATAGTTGGTTGCATTAGGGGACGTCAGGAGGGGGAATTCAGGAAACTGGTGAAGGCCTTTGTTGAGTAGTGCAAGAGAAACCAGCTGCAGCTCAACATTGGAAAGACCAGAGATGGTGGGTGATTTCAGGAGATCAAAAAGCCCGTCTTCAATCACTACTGATGGAGAGGAAGTGGAAGAGGTGGGCACATACAGGTACTTAGGAGTGCACCTGGATAACAGGCTGGAGTGGACTGTGAACACAGAGGCCCTGTATAAAAAGGCATTGGACTGCCTCTACTTCCTGAGGAGACTCCGGTCCTTTTGAGTCTGCAGGTCTCTGTTACAGCAGTTCTACCAGTTTGTGGTTGCAGGAGCGATTTTCTATGCCGCGGTGTGTTGGGGCTACAATGCTACAAGAAGGGACTCAAACAAACTCAATAAACTGATTACGAAGGCTGCCTCTGTTCTGGGAATCCACTTGGATTCCTTTGAAACAACCGTCCGAAAGGGAACACTCAAGAAGATTTTCTCCATACTGGACAATGCCTCACACCCCCTGCATCACACCCTGATCAAGCAGAGAAGCACATTCAGGAATAGACTCACACAGCCGTGCTGCTGCAGTGAGCCCCATCCAAGGTCTTTTCTCCCAGGGGCCATTAACTGCTACATAAGGTTCCCCCCCAGACCCCTCTCTCCACTCAGTCACCAGCCCTCAAGAATAGAATAGTATTTAAAGGTTGCACACTTTATTTTGCACAAAGCAAATTAATATAATATTGTGTCTTTTGTATATGTACAGTGATGTCACTTTTTGTGTGTGCTGCTGTAACTTTTGGAATTTCCTTCAGGATCAGTAAAGTACTACTACTACAACAAAATGCTGCTAAACTGTTTAGAATAAATTTCTGATTCTAGTAAAATCCTGCGTCTCCAATGCTGTTCTGTTTTTTTTATTTATTTATCTTTTAATATTCCTGAATATTACTCTTGAATCTGTTGCCAACCCCTGTCGGCTAGGGTCACTAGGAAATTGCGGATTGTTGACAAAATTGCTACTGAATAGTTATGAAGACTGAACATATTAAACAAAAAAAAAATGACAGTAAAGGTGAAACTGACTACATCTATGCAGCTAGTACACATACATGTATCCTGATAGACCTACCTTTTAAGGATTAAAAATACACTTTAATTCCATTCCCATCTCATTATTCTGGAATTTTATCACACAGTCTTCCTCCCATTTTGTTAGTCCTGTCTGATTCACTAGGGCCCTTACTCTCTGTGTCTGCCTCTTCACTGCTCTCGAATGAAAGGAAACACAGCTCATGGTGACAAGACCACAGGTGATTTATACAGAAAAGATTCTGTATATCAGTTCCTGAGTCTGTTAGATGCAATGAAATGTCCTGATTCAGTACTAAGCAAAATGTGGCCTGTTTTTGAGAGCCTACTCCAAGGAGAGACCACAACATGATTGGTATATCTCCCATTCTGGCCTTTTGTGGGGGAAAATATGAGTTCAAAGAAAATATCCTTGGGAACAATGAATAATGAATGATTCAAAGAAGCATTTCTCTGGAACATCTATCTGAGATATTAACTCAGAGTACAGAGGGATGAAAAATATCTCTTTATGCATAAGAAAGTATGTTTTCAAAATATATCAAAATGTGCTGCCTCTATAGTTTTAAAAAGAACAAAAAATTAATTAAAAGGAAGAAAATCTTTGAATTTGTTGTACAAAAAGCTGGTTGTGTTATTACTGCTGACCGTTTTCAAAGTTACATTTAGGCGACTAAGATAAGCATTTATTTATTATTACTGGGTGCCATCGACTCCTGATGACCAGGTACAAAGTATTCCTCTAGAACAGTGTTTCGCAATCCTCGGGGACCCAGAGACAGTCCATGTTTTTGCAAAAATGTGGACTGTCGGTCAGGGAGCTTGGAGGGAGCAAAAGAATGGACCGAGGACCAGACTTGGAAACAGTGCTGTACAACACCCAGATATCTAGAACATCTTTAGCATTAGGCTTCCTGATGACATGTTCAGTTATTTAAATCTTTTATGTTTATTTTTAAGTGACTTACATACATAGAATATTACTTTCCGACTGCATCATACCACATTCATGTAATATTTAATATGTAACTGTGCTGTATGGATTGCAGGTTTAAACCTTATTCCCACAACCAAAATTCCAGAGAGACTGTGTTTGCTACCTCCCTCCTCTTTGAGGTTTATTCCCCTACACATGAACAAGTCATTAAAGTGTAAATCGCAGAGATGGTATGTCAGGCACACATGAGGAGCACATGCTTATTAGGAGCCTCGCTTGGCAGAAAAGGGAGCTTCAGACGGGACATGTGAAGGGGACAACGAGAGCTGTGCTGATAACACTAAAGCTGTATCAGGATTCCAGTGTTATAGCATGGCTCCAAATCCTTTTATCTGTTAGAGGACATAAAAATATGATCAGTCCATCTCTACAGCTACACAAGAGAACATGATATGCTGACTGTTACAGTATGCTTATGGTCCTGAAGGCATTGCAAGGGAAATGGGGAGCTGGAATGATCCCGCGTCAGTCTGAGCCTTGCTGCAAAGCCAGAAACATGCTAACGTTCGGGATTTCATTGCATCCCAAAGGCCTTATAAATAAAAATCAGGCTTCTTGTATCATCGCCATCGCAGTTTGTCATGATATCCTTTGTGAAATATTCTTTCATTACCCGCAAAGAGCATTTGAAAATGCTCTGTAATTGTTTTAAAGCTCTGGATTGAGATTATACAATTGGACAGATCTCGTTCCACCTCACCAGAGTACTAAACACAACTGTAGCTCATCACCTGGTTAACCCCATCCCCCCCGTCCCCACAAACTCTGCCACATAAGAGAAACATGCTGTAGCTGCTGTTATGCTCACAGCGAAAGGTCTGTTATATTGTCAGGCACATGTGGCACGGAAAGTTAAGTCCTCCCTGATATGTACGATACCAAATCATCCATATTTTGATGTCTATAATGCAAGTTCCCAGCTTGCTTTTCATTCTAATAGACATGCTTTTTCACCAGTAGCACTAGCATACAATACCTTGCAAAAGTCTTAGACAGGCAAAGAAAATTATGTTTAAATGATCTACATGTTGATGCTAAACAACATCTGTCAAAGTGTATCAGCCTCTTCTCAAGTCAACCAAGTACTTGCAGTACTCATCCAATATACTCATGTATTTGTTGCACATCATATTTGGCTAATCAATACCTCATCGCAATTATTTAACTAATTAAGCTAATTAATTGAGTGAGCTGATGGTAAAATTCAATGGCTGTAGTGACCCAGAAGAGAAGAACTAAAGTGATGGTGTTCTAGATATCCAACAGAAGACATTCTTGTTACTTTCTGTTTAATTTGCGTATATTCTGATTGTATTTTTTTTTTCTTTCATGGCCTTCTGGTTAGTACTCATGGGCGTCGCCGCCATTAAATCATAATTATTCGTTTGGACCCCTCCACAATTAACATAAAATATTAGTTTTATGCCAGTGTGCCAACACATTCAAAATGCTTCTGACGCCCTTGTTAGTACTGTATGTCTGATTAAACACCATTGATTAACATATACTACTGATTAGCTTTTACCAATAACACATATCACAGCTCTAAACCTGCTGGTTCAGGATCAAAAATTTGTCCATGATCTTGTCTTTTTACTAAAGGGCAGTTTGCAAATTGTCAAACATACATAGCCTAACGTACACAAATGAGCGGTCTTATTCTCGGAAATAATTTTATTTTTATGAAAACGCCAGCTTGTTTTTCCCAGTTCACCATGTTTGGTATTTATTCTCCCCTTAATTACTTCACTCCCAGAGTAGTATCCGGCTCCTTGTGCATCTCATCATCGAGTTTCTCACGTCCTACTGATCAGCCACACGTTACAGCACATTTGCTCAGCTCTGAATATGCTGCCTTTGGATAGATCCACAGCTGCAGCATGCTGTGAATGCAGGTCACTGTTACCTCTGATTAAACCTTCTACCTTGTCCCTTTTAGCAGTCAGGTCTGGGAAGGAGGATTTAAAGGACTAAACAGAAGATGTCTGGATCACATGACAGCCCCAGATGGTTGCAATCTCTACAGGTAGGTTTTAACAATCATTAACCTCAAGGCTGAAAGAAGTAGGGGAAGCATGAGAGAGAGGTCTGACGTATCAATCTCAAGGCTGTCCTTGCTGAGCCTCACTCTCCTGTGGGGTTTGACCTTTACAATCTGGAAATGGAATTGATTTCAGGTCCCAGCCACAAACAAATTCTCAATCACACAGAGGAAGCTGGGGTGGGTGAGTTTTTAAGACTGTTGGCAATGGATGGGCAGCTATTGATTAATCAGGAAAGGTTCTGCACTATGTGGATTGTTCACATTCCAGGCCCATGGAGGTCCCATTCTGCAATTAGTTCTGCATTATCATAAAAACACCATCTTAGCTCTCTCTGGGACAAACATTGCACACATAGCATCCTTAATATACTAAAAACAAAATATGAGCAGAGTGTTTGTTGCTGTATTTTATGAGCAAAAGTATATTTAGTTCTTGCTGACAGCTGCTAACATTAGTATACTGTTGCAGAGCTGTTCCCCTGAGAGACTGACAGGTGCTTCTGCCATTCTGCAGTGTGCATAGAGTTCATTTCATCAAATTTATTCTAAAGCATAGTAAATGTTAATTATGTATATACCTACTGTATGTATGCCTTTATTTTTCCCAACATAGCATTTTTCTAAATAGTTACTTTATTCCTACTAAGTAGAGCATTATTGTGAAAAACGCAGAGCTAGTTTCTGTTTCTATCTTTTTCTGAAGCATGTCTTTTGAATACAGGTCTCTGCTATTGTACTTTCAGCTAAAACAGCACTGAGGGACTCCTGCAAAGCTGTTATATATATCCTCCCCAACACGACTTATCTGTGTCGCCAGGAAACTGCTGCAGACACAATTCGGTTTGATAAACTGAGCTGCGGAGCCTTAAGCTTGTTGCCATGGATGCAACAATGTTTAAATCTCTTTTCAGCGCCACCATTGAAAAAGTTTGTTCTTATGCAGGATTGTAATAATGAATGATATGCCACAGTCTTGGCCTTGTCAAGTGAAGCTTAGAGCTGCCCTACTTTATATGTTGTGAGGTACAGTAGCCCAATGTATTGTACACCCAGAGCACTGAATGGCCTGAAAATGTGTGTATGGTGAAAGCAGCGGCACTCTATGTATCAGTATGAGGGTAACTACTACGAAGTTTTGTTTCGCTTGTGATTACACCCACAGCGTTCTAATACTAGGATCAACACCACTGACTTTTAATCAGTCAAATAAACAAACTTTGCTTACACTTAATCCTCTTTTAAAAATTTGTGCTAATAAGTTGTGTTAATCAATAATGTGCTGTACTGTGTTTTTGATGTTGTGGGTACCCCTGACGGCAGAAACATTTGTTTTGCCACTGTGTAACAATGGCATCCCATGCATATATAATTATGGTATTTGTCATCATCGTGGCCAGCCTGTTTTGAATGAAAGAGGTAGGTAAAATTGGTTGTAGCGATCTGAGCTGCGTCTTATGTCACCCACTGAAAGACTACTGTTTTTCTGCTGAGTTATCAGTCTTATGATATTCAAGCTATGCTTTTCATATCCCTGATTTTCTGCCTCTTTTTTTGGCTACCACTTTTCGTTAGGGTATTTTTTTCCCTCTTTCTTTTGTCTCCATGGCGCTGACACAACGTTTTGTTCAGCAAATCGCTGTAGCTGAAGTCAATTGGAAAGCAGGGGTTCGAAAGTAAGCTACGCTGTGCCAGTATTGTATCCCGCGGCTCTGCAAGCTGTTTTATCCCGACCTGAGGGGCATTTCAGTCAGCAGTTTCCATCTCGTTGGCACTGTTTATTTTTGTAAGATATGGAGCTGAATAGACATTAATACCAAATGCAGGTCTGGAGTTATCTAGGCCTGTCACAACATGTTAATTATATAAGAATGAGGTATGCCCCTCTACCCCCCCAGCCCAGAACTCTGCCTTCACTCCTGGTGCAATAACTGCCCACTCTCTTCAGGCATTGCCGTAGCCACAGAGAGTGAGCTATGATGTTCATAAATACATGCGATGACTGTCAGACTCAAGGACCCTGAATACAATAGCAGGCAAATTATACTTATTTAATTTCAAAAGAAATGGTTATTTGGCACGTTACATTTCAACTGGATAAATGTGATGTCAGACCAAAAACAGCTTTAAATCAGCAAAGCAGAATAATAGCAAAACATTATGAAGTAAAAGGAAAACAGGAATCTGAGGCATAGAAGATTAAATTTGTAACACTTCCTATGAATGCCATGTCTATAAGAATCTATAAACACATACATAACACTTTATAATGCATTCATAAAGCATTATAAATATCTATATATCCATCCATTTTTCACTGCTTTTCTGAGGTCAGGTTGCGGGGGCAGCAATCTTAGCAGGGATTTCTAGACCTCCAGCTCCACTTGGGGAATACCAAGGCATTCCCAGGCCAGCCCAGAGATATAATCTATCCAGCGTGTCCTGGGTCTGCCCCGGGGCCTCCTCCTGCCTGGATATGCCCAAATCATCATCCCAGGTAGCCATCCTGAAGGCACCCTAGATAGATGCCTGAACCACCTCAACTGGCTCCTTTTGATGCGGAGGAGCAGCAGCCCTACTTTGAGCCCCTCCTGAATCTCCTCACCCTATCTCTAAGGTTGATCCCAGACACCCTGCGGAGAAAACACATTTCGGCTACTTGTGCCTGTGATCTCATTTTTTCGGTCACTACTCAGAGATCATGACTATAGGTGAGGGTAGGGACGCAGATCGACTGGTAAATTGAGAGCTTTGCCTTCCAGCTCAACTAACGCTGCACCGATCAATCTGTCAATCTCCTGCTCCCTTGTTCCCTCACTCATGAACAAGACCCTGAGATACTTAAACTCATCTGCTTGAGGCAGCAACTCATCCCCCAAAAGGAGAGGGGAATGCACCCTTTTCCAGTTAAGTTCCATGGCCTCAGACTTGAAGGTGCTGATCCTGGCTACCACTCAGCTGCAAACCACCCTAGTGCATGCTGCAGGTCACAGCCCAATGACACAAAAGGACCACATCATCTGCAAAAAGCAAAGATCCGGATCCCCTCCGACCCTTGGCTGCAGCTATAAATTCTCTCCATAAATGTTATGAACAAAATCGATGCCAAGGGGCCGCTCTGGCGAAGTCCAACACCCAGCGGGAATGAGTCTGACTTACTGCTGGCAATGCGAACCAAACTCTCGTTTCGTTTGTCCAGGGACCTGATGACCCATAAAAGCGGACCCTGTACCCCATACTCCTGAAGCATCCCCCACAGGACCCCTCAAGAGATACGATCATATGCCTTTTCCAAGTCCACGAAACACATGTAGACTGGTTGGGCAAACTCCCATGAACCCTCAAGTGTAGTGACATGTGAAGAGATGGTCCAGTGTTTCACGACCAGGATGGATTCTGCATTGTTTGTCTTGGATCGGAGGTTCGACAAACGCGTGGATTCTCCTCTCCAGTACCCTGGCTTAGACCTTTCCCAGGGAGTCTGAGGAAAGTAATTCCCCTAAGGTTAGAATACATCCGTTGGTCCCCTTTCTTAAAGATTGGGACCACCACCCCAGCCTGCCAATCTAAAGGCACTGTTCCCACCGTCCACACAAGGTTGAAGAGGCATGTCAGCCAAGACCCACAACATCAAGAGCTTTCAAGAACTCAGGGCAAATCTCATCCATCCCTGGAGCCCTACCACTGAGTAGTTAAATGACTACTTCATTGACCTCAACCCCAGAGATGGGCAAGTCTTCCTCTGAGTCTTACAGCTCTACTTCCTCCAAGGAAGGCACATACTGTAAGTGGGATTTAGGAGATCCTTGAAATACTCCTTCCACTGCCTGACTATATCCCCAGTTGAGGTCAACAGCTCTGCATCCCAGCTATAAATAGCATTGGTGAAGCTCTGCTTCCCCCTCCTGAGTCACCTGATGATTTGCCAGGCTGACAAAAAGTCCTTCTCCAAAGCCTCACCAAACTCCTCCCACACCTGAGATTTTGCTTCAGCAACTGTTAGATCTGCTTCCTGCTTTGCTTGCCAGTTCCTGTCTGCTGCTTCTGGACCACTGGTGCCCACCACCAGGTTCGAGGATTGCCACCGTGGCTGGCACCAACAACCTTATGACCACAGGTCTGCACCACCGCCTCAGCAATGGGGTCCCGGAACATGGCTCATTCAGACTCCATGTCACTCAGGAGAGAAGAGAAGTTCTGCTGGTGGTGTGAGTTGAAGATCTCCTGGACAGGGGCCTCCACCAGACAATCCCAACACAATCTTACTATGCGTTTGGGTCTACCAGGTCTATCCAGCATCTTCCCCCGCCATTGGATCCAACTAACCACCAGGTGATCAGTTGACAGCTCCGCTCTTTTCTTCACCCGAGAGTCCAAAACATATGGACGCAGATCCATCGATATGATTACAAAATCTATCATCGAATTGTGGCCTTGGGTGCTCTGGTGCCAGGTGCCCTTATGAACACCCTTATGCTCGAACATGGTGTTCCTTATAGACAAACTGTGATTAGCACAGAAGTCAAATAACAGGGAGGCGACCCTGTCATCCACCGGGGTACACTCCGACACAATGGCACTGAACTAGGGGGCTATAAGTAGCCCCACCCCTGCCCGGTGCCTCTCACTCTGGGCAAGTCCAGAATGGAATAGTGTCCAGTCCCTCTCCAGGAGTTTGGTTCCAGAGTCCAAACCATGCATTGAAGTGAGCCCAACTATATCTATTCTGTATCTCTTCACCTCCCACACCAGCTCAGGCTCCTTTCCCACCAGAGGTTACATTCCATGTAGGACCAGTTTTGGTAGCTGACAGTCTGTCCACTGAGGCTCCTGTCTTCGACTGCCACCCGATTTACATTGCACCTGACCTCCACGGCTCCCCCTGCGGGTGGTGGGCCCATAGGAGGGCAGGCCCATGTTATTTCTTCGGGCTTTGCCTGGCCGGGCCCCATGGGTGGAGACCTGGCCAGTAGGCCTGGGGAGGGAACTCCAGGGCAAAGCCCCGGTCTCCCCAATTCCAGAGGGGTAATATAGTCCCTTGTATTTTCCATCATGGGCTTTTTCTGCATCGCACTTAGTCTGGCTGCTTACCAAGGACCAGTTTGCCTTGGGAGACCCTACCAGTATAATGCATCATGAAGGTATCTATAATGCATTACAGATGAAAGCTTTAAGTAAAGTGTGACCCTTGCGTTACATAATAACCTAACTTTGTTTTGTGTTCAAAGAATAAACAAATACTTTATCATTGTCTGTGTTTGATCCTGGCATCAAAAATCCTAACACTTTCCTCTGAACTACAATTCACTCAGATACTTCTGCAAGACTTTTGATGTGAATGTGTGCCTATAGACACCTATCACTCCCTGAGCAGGACTTTCTTAAGGAAAACTGTTCATAAAGTTTCTGACACACAGAGATGAACTTTGCAGAGGAGATAAATCATCAGCACCTGAAAAAATCCATTCAGCAACAAGTCAATAGGTAGAACCCCCAGGGACACTCAGACGTTACCTGGACTTGTCAAACTGTCAGCCTTTCACACCTTGTGACAGACAGTGAAAGAGGAGATGCCGAGATGGTACCATTTTTTAACAGGCTCAGCAGTGACAGTAAGGCCATGATTTTACATTTAGTAGCTCAGGTTAGTTGATCTGGCTGTAATATGCCAAAGACAAACAAACCCCTTCATTCAGGTCTGATATTTTCAAAAGCTCTGATTTTTCAGGGACCCCCGACCAGTTGTTCTCAAACTTTTGGGTCAAAAGTCTGCATCAGATTTTTGTTCGAAGTCAGAGACCTGGAAAAATTTTCAATAACAAAACAACATTTCACGAACTTTAATGAATTAATAAAAAACTTTCCATATAAACATCAATATATAACAATAATGGGACCTTATTAATGCTCACTAATCATTTTGACTGTCATTGTTGGGGGGCAAGATTATGACAAGTTATGTGTCTGCAAAATTTGGTGGTTTTTTATTGTATTTTTTATTTCAAACCACATTAAGCCTTTTTATGTTAACCATATTGATTCATAAGGTGCATTATCAGCTGGGTCCAGATTAACTTGCGGTTTGGTCCGC